GAGAAAGAGTGAGGAGAAGATCTTCAAACAAAAATATAGATTAGAAAATAAACAAAGGAGAGCGCAAGAGAGCGAGCGCAAAAATGTGTGCATGCGAGTGCGCGTGTGCGCGCGCGTGTGAGTGTGTGCGTGTGTGTGTGTGAATGTGTGTGCGTGAATGTGTGTGCGCGCACGACAGGCGGCGAGCAGCCCAGGCTGCGGAGCCAAAAATAATCCGGTTCGCGAGGGACACCCCCTCCCCCTTTGCATCGCTGGCGCTGCCTCCGCCACCATCACGCGTGCAGTCCCGCTTCCAGCGGGCGGCAGCTGGTGCGACTCAGAGCTCCTGCTTCTGGCCTAAGGGGTGAAGGGGGAAAAGTTGGCAGTAGGGTCAGTGAGCCCAGGCCCTTCCCCTCCTGAAGACCTTGTCTCCCAAAGTGAGCAGGCCATTGAGCATGAGTGCCCCACTCTATTCCCACCCTTCACCACGCCACCACCCTCAGAGAGCAGGCAAATACCCGGGAGAGATGGTGAGTTAGTAAGTGGAGGCAGTTTTTGGCCCATACTACTCTTGGTCTAAGGAAGTTTTCTGGTGAATCTGTAAATCTGGAGCAATATCCAAGATGCAAAAAGTTATCCAGACCCAATGCAATGCAGGGAAAGAATGCCTATAGGCCTGGGCCTCCCTGCCCTGGCCTCTTACTGGCCACCAAATCTGCACACATGGTGCAGACTCTAGAAGGTTCTGGAACAGTGGTTCTCAACATGGGGCACATGCCCCATAGGGGGTGGGGGGCAATTTGATTTTAAGGGGGGCAATTCCAGAATGAGTTATTAACAGTGAATTTTTTAGTATTTCTTATTGTTCTAGGGGCCTCATATATAGTATATAAAATATGTTGTGACATATTTATGCATTTCAGTTCTCTATTATGTTTTGAAACTTTATTTGCTATTTTTATATCACTTCATATTATTATTATTTTAACAATTTCTTAGTGATTTCTTCCTCAGTACTTCAACTGTCCTTTTGTTCTTTCATTTTTCTCTTTCATGGATGCCATGTTCTTTGGAAGCTTGTTTAAACCAAGTTAGTGGTCTTTTAGGCTTCCTCCACGTGAATAGGAGCGAGGGGCGTGGCTACAGTGTTTGGACAGGTTCAAGCCTTGGGCTAATGACAGGGCCCAGTCCTCTCATGACCACGTGCGAGTCCCAGCTTAGAGGGCAGAGCCCTACCAGCACAATTATAGCCAACAGCTATAGTTGTAAGCTTGAACCTGTGGTCTGAACACGTGGCCCCACGTGCCTGAGTGATGTAGTTCAGGTGCATGTAGTTGAGTAGTTGAGTAGGATTTAAACCCACGGAGGATGTTGTAAACATCTTGATTACACCCTTACTTTGCCTCATGGCATCTGCTATAAAATAAAGACACGGCGGCTTGTGGGCTCTGGCACTGTCGCTAGGTCTCCATCAGAGAGGCTCTCCATCAGAGAGGACAGCGTCCCACCGAGACCCAGCTTTCATTCTCTTGTCTGTCTTTTCTAAGCTTTTCACCACCTGACTCAGGGTCACTGAACCAGGCTGAGCTGGCACATAAGGCGCCCTGGGGCTAAGTATGCCATGGCCATGCCGGCTCACCACATAGGAGTTCACTTTTTAAATAATAAGAATTATATGTCACGGGGGGGCATTAGGATTTTAGAGAAGCTTAGGTGGGGCATGGCCAAGAAATGGTTGGGAACCACTGGTCTAGAGGTTGACCTCTTAGCAGCTGCCGTAGAGCCTGAAGGCCCGTGACTCCTTAACAAGTACTGACTACTTGGTAAGCATTTACTTTTCACCAGATGCTATTTTAAGCATTTACATTAAACTTTCCCAACAACTAGTTGAAGTAGGTACTGTGGGTGTATTCATTTCACCAGTCACAAAATGAATGCTTAGATAGGTTCAAGGGATGTTGCTTCTTCCCTGAGCTCCGCCCTGGACTCACTTCCCTGGGCCAGAAACTGTGTTTTTTTGAAAAAAGAAGTGGTCATTCTAGGTGATTTTGTTGCACAGGAAAGTTTAAGCTCCCGGGAGTTAAAGTTTGCTCAAGGGCACACAACTGCAAGGAACCAGGATTCCTGGGCAGGTCTTCCAGTTTGATGTGATATCTTAATGCCCATGCTGCCTTGTGTGTGCCATGGGACAAGGCCAGATCAGACAGAGCATTGGGTCTGAGGCTGATGTTCATTTTCCTATTCTATCATTTTCTTGTGTATTTTTGTTTGTTTGTTTGTTTGTTTTTTCTTTCCAGCATGACCCCTCTTCCAAGTAGGACTGCAGATTTCCAAAAGTGTAGGGGACATGTTATATGTATTGCTTTGTATCATACGTATTGCCTTGTGCCTAACAAATAATAGTATCAGAGGAGTTCCTCTACAATCCTGTCAGGCTGCATATCTTCCAACTATGGAGTAAAACAAAGAAAGGGAACTTCTATCACCAACTGGAAATTAAAATATATGTATGATTTTTTTATTGCTTTCACAGAAGAAAGGAGAGGGAAAGGGAGAGATAGAAATATCAACGATGAGAGAGAATCACTGATCAACTGCCTCCTGCATGCCCCACACATTGGGAATCAAGCCTGAAACCTGGGCATGTGCCCTGACCCGGAATTGAACCGTGACCTCCTGGTTCCTAGGTCCATGCTCAACACTACTGAGCTACGCCGGCTGGGCTAGAATTTTTTTTAATGTGCCATTTTATCATCATTTGAGAAAATAATTTTGAAAAACCCAGAAAGACATCCTTTATCATTTGGCCCCAGTAGGTAATTTTGCAATTAGGGTTGGTTTTACCATATGCTTTCTTAGGACTCTCTTCGGTAATAATATATTTGTATGTAAACAACTTTTTTCCCTTTCTACTGGTCTCTTATCCTTCAGTGATAGCACAATGAAGCCATAAATCTGGGTTACTAACATCATAATCATTTCCCCTAGAAATTGTTCACAATGGGAAAAACCACGGAATTTAAATGTAATTGTCTAGCCGCGCAGGGAGATGAGATGGGTTGTAAAAGAGGTATTCTCAATTTAAAAGCAAATTATCAATAATGAGAGAAGAAATAAATGGCAGTTAATGGGAAGTTCTGTTGAAATATAATGTTTTGTGCAAATTCACCAACAGGAATTGTTTCTCTCTGCTCCTTTTTTATTCCTGAAGGGGAAAAATGCAATCATTCAAGGCAGAAACACTGGCTGTTGTTTCATTAAAATGGGTAATCTCTGGGTGCTTTTATTATTTTTTAATATATATTTTCCATTGGAAATGAAATAAAGCATATTCAACTATCTCAAAATCAAGTAGACTCTGACTTATTTATTTTGGAGTAGAAATAAGCTTAGTTATATTAGCAATGAGTGTCAGGCATGACTCACTAATACCTGTGTTGCTACGTGGCTTAAGAACACTTACCATGAGTGAGGGAGACATCCATTACAATTTAAAACAGAATTAGAGTAAAGATCAATATAGCATGCTATCATGCTATTCATTTTGAAAGTATTAGTTTCTTTTTCACAAGAACCTTTCCCATTCTAGGCAGTTTTTCTCTTTCCTCTATGTTGAGCCACTGGTCGGTAAGGAAGAGGTGCTGAAATAAATAACTAGGACAGCGTAGGGCCCAGGAGCACCCAGCTCTAACTGTAAAGAACATGGAGACTTTGGCTCCTCCTACTGGACATGAAAAATACTTTACAATTTAAGACTTAAGCAGATGTCAAAATGGTGTCTTCCATAAAACCCTTAGGAAAGAATGACTTTGTAGTCTCATGGATGGCCGAGAGTGCATGAACCCTGCTCAAAGCGCTCAATTTATAGCAAGTGTAAATTGCATCATCTCACTTTCAAACTTAGGGTCATTCTATGGCTCCTCATTGCCCCCCAAGGTGAAGTCTAAAGTCTTCCACGTGGGTTAAAACCTCCTGGGTTAACTGGTTCTCATTTTGCACTGACCCTATGCTCCAGCGGTAGTCAGCTCTTGTCTCCAACCCTTTGCACATGTTGTCCCTCCAATCTAGAATTATTCTACAGACCCTCTTTGCCTGGATAGCTCCTGTTTATATTTTAGATCTCCATGTGGATCTCACTTTCTCCCTGACAACCCCACCCCCACACAGAGATAAGGCCAGTGTCCCTGTTTTGAACTCCCTGAGCACCTCAACTTAACTTCATTGTATCATTTGTCTCCGCCTATAGGCAACGCTGTTCTCCTCCATTAGACTGAAATGTCCTCGATGCCAAGGACTTTTCATTAGTGCATGGTGCCCAGCACATCATAAGCTTAATAGCTGTTTGGTGAACCATCCTTCTTCCCTGCGGTGATTGCTACCTCAGTGGGCTGACCTCTTTGAGATGGATTGAGTGATCAACCTGCTCACCTGTATTCATTTACTCTTTAATTTTTTCAGCCATCAAAGATGTATCTTACAGGAGGCTAGTCTCTCATGGAAACCATTTATTATATAAACTAGACACAGTCTCTGCACTCAAGAAGCAT